TCGTATATTGAGAGACACCGACATTGTGATAGATAATGGGCCCTGCTCTAGATAAAGTATCACTCCACCTACTCCTCGATAAAATCTCCAAACGTCTAAGGAAGAATCAAAACATAAAATGAGATAAATTTGTTTAGAGAATTGGCAACATCGCCCAGTCGAATTGTTTGTTCGGTCGGCTTTGGGTGTCAGCCGTGTCGTATTTTGTGTAATATTTATAGAATTAACGAGAGAAATTGCTACAAAAGTGAATAGAAAATGCTCTAATGATCGTGCGATGAGTTTTCTATAGCAGTATTCTGCGTATTGAGTCTAAAAAGCTCTCGAATCCGCCATGACAATGGCTCGTATACTCGAGTACGGTCATGGAGTTTGGGCATTACATTTTCTGTGTTTTACATTGTTTTATGCAGTTTTAGGTAAGTATTATGTATACTAGTTACTTTTAATTCACGTATTAGTGAAGTATGTATAATTATTGGACAATTCTTGATGATTTAAGCGGCGTAAATGCGCGCATTTTTTCAATTGGTTAGTTTCCTGTGTATTTAGGGTAAAACACTGTGGTTTTGCTGAGTGTCCTGTAGATAATGAGAAGGGCTATTGTTTCTATATTTAGCTGTGGTTGGACGTTTACAGGTTATACTGTAATATTGTGAATGTTAAAATTACGTACTACCATTGGCACTAATTTATATATGTAATGTTTGTATAAAAATTTATTGTTTTGTTTTTAATCTTCTGATAAGAAAACAAAGCTTCATTTATCATATTATAAATTAGATATGTCTAGTAATTGGTGTTCATTAATTCCCTGTACCTGTGGAAAGATAATATTATCTCTGAGAGCATTTACTTCAGTATGTTTTTTAACTTTGCAAGGTTAAGATTCAGAGGGGAAGCAAGAAAAACTGTTTTGCTTGATCAAATGGTTTAGATATTTACTATTAAGTAAATTTGTAAGACAAATATGTGATACACCTCAGAATATTGTCTAAAGAATGTGCTAATTTGTTACATGATAAGATATACTTTTTTCAATCACATAATATCCTGAAAACAGGCTAACTAAAAAGTCTAAAATGTATTATTTAAGAACAAAATGTGTAATATTGCACATAACTTTTTTTATATGAAGTTTCTCCTTAACTGCCTCCTGAAATACCTCCCCTTAATTAGTTCATTCTCAAACGAAAGTTACTAGTGCCAATGTCGTCAAGTCTTGAAAGACACAAGGTGTTCAGAAGGTCTTTCTTGAGTTAGCATTTTGTGCTTAATTTCCATGACAATATTTATTATTTAAGTATACTATGGTAGATAATAAACTACAATATTAAATAATATTTCATGACAATACACTGCAATTCTTAAATAATAAAATTGCCACAGAAATTAGAAAGTGAACACTAATCCATGAGTGACTGTAGAACAAGCCTTAAAAATAGAAAAATAAATCTTTTTCTAACTTGAATGTGCCTAACTTGAAAAACTTGTGTGTGAAAAAGAGAATAAACATGTTACGAGAAAAATTCGTTATTCAAACTAAGACCTATGTAAAGGTGTTTTGAGTATTTATATATATCTTATTTCGATTCGGAAATATAAAATCAAACAACAGTCAATCTGTCACCCACAGCAAAGAAGAACGAATGAAATGCCCTGAGAACAAGTAGTCTTGTGCATATATCTTTGTTCTACGAATGAGTCGACATCTCACAATATATAATAGCACAAGTGGCTACTGACCGCTGTATTTACAAATCTCTCATCTTTTGCAAATTAAACAATTGCACAATAAATTTTGAGTGATGATTTATTGTATCAATGCCTTTAAACACAAAGTAGTGCTACTTCAAAAGGACATATAGAACTGTAAATGATATCTCTGGATTCATGGAGGAAATATATAGGCCATAATGACGATCATTACACATTAAATGCAAATCTGTTGTCAATCAGTTTCTTAAATTCTGCAAACATAAATTTGTAAATTTTTTATTCAATAAATTGATTTATGTAATTGATTTTATTAATCACCAGTCGAAAAAGCGAAAAATGCATAATTGTGCCATAATACAAAAACACCGTAACTGTGGGTAAACGGGTAAACAGGAATGTTTCCCTCCACGGGCAAGTGATTTTGTAATCAGAAGATGCATAATTTATTTTAAAAACGATAAACGGTTTTGTATGAATTTCGAAAAAACAAATATGCAACCGAGTGTATGCCTTATGATTTGTAATACATTGCGGCTTTTACTTGGTGCAATATATTTGTGACCCTTTGTTAATACGCCATGAATATCGAACAAACGCACTTTTTTATAATGCATTCAGTTACAGTAGAAAACTATCTAGTAAAATTAATTAAGGCAGTCGCAAGTTCATATATTGAGGGACGTTTTCCTTATTTAAGTCAATCGATAAGATTTTCTATTACAAAAAGATGTTATATATTAAGCTCATTTTATTGGAAGGACAATAATTTTAATATTTGAAGTCGATTAGAAATTAAAGTGTTAAGTAATGAACATTGTTTGACATAAGTAAAATAAAGGACTTAACTATCTTATTCTAGTATTTTTGTACCATATTAATATTACGACTACTTATAATGAACAAATACTTGAACAAAAATTATTCTATTTAGAGTGGATTAATTGAATGGAATACGCGTCTTTACGTGTATATGAGCAACTAATGATAAGTCGGAGAAAAATTCCCATTTCTGAACAGTCTTAATTTTTAAAAAAATTAATATTCTTCATTATTCCCGTATTCTCCCATTATCTTTCGTATAATTTTCTTTCTTTTTCCATCCTCTTTTTGACCCCGGTCAAAAGTTTGTTACTGAACGAAAACGATGCCTAACTTTCTTTAACTAAACGATTTTATTTTTATTTGCCACTAAATAAGACTTCCTAAAATGTTGCCAAAAGAAAGAAAACAACATGAGCCCTCAAATTATATTTTTGTAATGTCATTATTATATATATATATATTATATATATATATATATATATATATATGTCAATGTGAATAATAACCGCCGAAGTATTTTAATAACCGGCAATCTATCTCACCACCGCGCTACATGTCTTTCAACCCTGATGTTGGCGCAATCGTCCCGCAAAACGACGGAGCTATAGATACAAAAGTTGAAGTTGAAGTGTATATAAGACAACTTCAAAACTATGATTTCACTAAAACAACGACAATTAACGAACTATGAATGTTGAATAGCTGTGGTAGCCTCGTGGGAGTCGACAGTTCGAATCCCTGTGGCGACATATACCTAAGGCTTTAATTTCTAAGTTACATACATTTGTAAATGTTTAGTAGCAGTACCTCTCGCCAACCGTGACGGAAAGATTGATAACCCTTGTAAACCGTCTGAAGCCAACCAAAAGCTACAGTCTAATGAGAGACTAGCCTGAACCCTCACCTCAGTGGAGACCCGTGCCCAACAGTGAGACGTGTAATGATGAAAGTACTTCAAATTGTCTTTTAGTTAAAATGTTGAAATCAAATCATTTGTTTACAGATAACATTGTAAACGTTCCACTTTTCCATGATCCTGACCCAGTATATTATAAAATGTCCACCGTATCAGGACTTATCTCGGTCATATTTTATGACGTTAATTATTACTGAAAGGGTGCGTTGGAAATGCGTGGAAATTTCGAAGACTACTTATCTTATATAGTAAACTATAGATACAACAACAGGGTGTTACGGAGGCTGCCTCGTTGCTGCAGCGCTTTTAATAAGTTTATTATTATAAATAAATATTACATTAATGTGTCAGTCAGCCACATTAATGACCTACTCTGAAACTAAGCAATTTCAACATTTCAAATCATTTCATTTCAAAATCAAAAGTCTCCTCAGCTAGCGTCCAAAGATCAGAAGACTGTACAGAATGAGAGTTGCACAAACAGCTATGGGGCGAGTCATATTCGGTATCAAACTTATAGACTGAATTCGGACATCCGGAGACGAATTAAGGTCCAGGACACAGGAGTTCAGATAACGGATCAGGGGGTCTACTCTCGATTTCCGTCCGACATCCGTCCCAAACAAGTACTGTCAAATAAGTAATATTCGACAAAATTAAAAGACAAGTATCAAGTATGAAGCTTCATTCGCATTATATTACTTCATCTGTCTTCACCACATCTCGCAATATCTGGTCCGTCCCAAAAGTATCGAACATTTTTCAGGAAAAATACTTTTATTGAACTTATCGGTACCATACATTAGTACTCTTCAAAATAACACCCTTCAGCATCGATGCACTTTTGTAGGCGAGTTTTCCATGCCCGGAAGGCCCCCTGGAAGACGTCAACGGGTAGGTCCTTCAGCGCCCTCGTCGTAGCTTCTTGGATGTCCTTAATTGTGCCCCAATGCTTGCCTTTGAGCTTCGACTTGATGCTGGGAAACAAGAAGAAGTCTGCCGGGGCGACGTCAGGACTGTAGGGAGGCTGCGGGACCAGCGGGCTTCGTCGGTCACCTCTTCCCTTCCGTCACGGAACACCTTGTGCCACTTCCTGACCGAGGATTCGGACAAGGCTTTGTCCTTGAACGCCTGTTTAATCATCTCGTTGGTTTCCACAGTATTTTTGCCGAGTAGAACACAAAATTTCACTGCGTACCTCTGTTCTAACGGATCCGTCATCGCGCTACTTTTAAAAACTTCGACGAGGTGTCGTTTAGAGCTCTACGCGAACGCACGTCCTGCCGCTCCAGGTGCTCGGAGCCAACTGGGACCGGTCGCGCTGTATCGGCTAGATCCCCCCACCACTTTCTGTTGCCAAGCGGAGCGCTTCCCGCCGTTCGGCAACACTCTCAAAAAAAATGTTCGATACTTTTGGGACGGACCTTATGTCCTATATTGCGAGATGTGGTGAAGACAGATGAAGTAAAGCGATAACGATTAATGGTTATAGAAACGTTGGGCGTCGATGGGTGAACGGGTAACCTATCACATGCTCGAATTTCTTTTTTCCGAATTTCATTACGTCGAACACGGTTCGACTTTTTTCCATTAGCGCGGTGACAGTTTTGGTATAAATTTGCAACACAGAAATGTCTTAAAGAAGTAGCATCGTTTGTCCGAAAACCTATTATTAGAATAATTTTTACACATAATATGTATTCTTTGGGCAGAAGTTTGTTTGATCTAATCATGTTTGTTATACTGTCTGTTTTCCGTACTTTTTTACGTTTACCTAATTTAGATTGCTGAAAATTCGTTTCGCCAAAATTATTATTCTTACATAAAAATTGTACCGCCGTACAATTTTACCGTACAGCTCCAAAATTCTAGACTATACTTTGCTGGTGCACTGCAAGTCCCACTTACGTAATTTTCGTCAAACCATTGTGCTATGTTTTTGCTGTCAAATGTAATATAAAAATAATGATCTTGAGTATTCAATATATAACGTATAAATGAAAATTAACTAGCGCCTCGTTTACTATTTTTCTAAAGACGCTAACATAGCACATGTTAATTTGATGAGTTATATTGTGCGACACGTTCTAATACATTTAATATCGGTAATAAGTAAGAAATAGTATGAAAAAAGTTTTATGAATGTGGTTTTTTTTTTCACAAAAATAAAATATTCAATTGGATACATTGGTCAAACAGTATGTTGGGGAAATAAGAATCGGGAAACGAATAACTTGTCAATATGTCAAAATAGTGAAACATTAAATGATGTAATTAAAAAAACTGTAACGTGTTTTCGGACAAATGAAACAAAATCTATTCAATAAAAATGTAAAGGAGAAACAACATTCTGTAAATCATGTTTCTAGCTTGTGATAGATAACTGTGTGAATGACATCGTCCAATTTCCGAGCCGTAAGTTGACTGAGACTAGCACAGGACTGTGGTGGATGGCACAAACTACGGGAGGCCTATAACCAGCAGTGGGTGAAATCCACAGATTTAGATATATGGTCTGTGGTGAAGTCGGGCTGTGGACGATGATGAGTCTGTCTGTAAGTGTAAATGTAGCAAAAAATCTTATTTAATTCCTTGTCTCCAGCTCAAGATGTAAAAATTGAAACTGTGGACGTGAGAGTACACAATCACGAGTATGGTGGCATTAGCAACATCACCTGTCAAGTCTCACCTGCTACTGCCGAGATCAAATGGATATTCAAAGAAGAGATTATTAATTCTACTAATGGGTAAGTAGGTTCCGTTGATTCGAAACAATTTCTCAAGTATCTAAGTTACATATAGCTTCGTCCCGTCCTCCCGATGGAATGGAGAGAGCACACAGATAACCACAATTGTGGTACACATCAGTCCATTCACGTTAAACCTTTTATATACACTTGTCTGTTCTGGATACTTTGACCTGGTTTTTAAAAAAATATATTTTTGTAAATATGTATTTCTTTTACATTGTAACCAGGAGAAACACTTATAATAATAATCATAATAGCTTTCTTATTCAAGACAACATATGTCCACTTGTTAGTTTTACAGAGCCTTAA